TAATATTAATATTATTATTATCATTATTATAAATTTTTCATAAGCATTAAAAGTTATTTCATCACTAGTCACTACTGATAAAAAAGAGATTGGGTAAGCGGCCATATGGTCGACGGAAGCTCTTCCTCTCCTCTCATCCTGCGCTCGAATACCGAAATGTCTAAAAAAAAAAAATACTACTGATAAAAAATTTAAATATATGATTATATCCATTATGATTTCTGAGTCCAAGTCCTCCCAAATTAAATCGAAGATGGGTTGCAGAAAATATATACAAACCAATATTATGTTCGTCACCTTTATATATTTGTCAAATGAAATGTATCTCCACAAATCGAAACACATCATGGCATAGGCGAGGCCAATAGAAACAAGTGTTAGAAAAGAATAAGCGACATTTTTTTTTTCGGTGGATTTCCAACGGATATTGGAATGGAAAAAACGTCATTTTTTATCACCAAAAAATTTTCGCGAGTGTTATGCTAGAAATTTCGACAAAAAATTATATCAATAGCTTTGTGTAGAATTCCTTGTATCAATCTTCCGACGAAAAATTAGTCAGAAACATATAGCATAGGAAAAAAAGCATCTCTTGCCAATTATTATTATTATTATTATTATTAAATCCGACAGTAGTTAGTGGCCGGGCGAAAGTCTGATGACAATCGACGGCCGGCGAAAGTTCGACGACAATCGGTGGCCAGGCAGAAATCCAATGACAGTCGGTGCCCGGGCGGTGGTCAAGGAGAAGCTTAGTGGCAAGAGAAATATTAGCTTTCTCTTCCTCTTCGCTCTTCTTTCTCTTCCTTACTCCTTTCATTTCTCCCTCTTCAAAGAAGAATGAGGGATCTATTTCTAGTTTTTTTAGAGTGACATTATATACCAGTAAATAAAGAGAAGATCAATGGCTTGTTGGGAGGGTTTTGAATGGACAGCCGATATCGACTCATTTGATCATGGATCGTTTATCGATTATTTGAGTACCTTAGTGGTGTTAGAATTTGATGATCTTTGGCTCGTCGGATTTGTCTCGCCGACCCGCTCAATTCGACTATAAGCATGTCACATTTGAAAACCATTTGGTAATCCAAATTATGATTTGAACCTCCTAAATGTGTTTCAAGTCTTCAATTTGGACCCATTTGGGCTTGGATTGGGTCAATTTTAGTGTTGTTGGGTTCGTCTTTTCAAGATGTTCAATTCGACTATAAGTTTGCTAAAATCGGAGTTTTATCAGAATAATGGTAACAAATTATATAAATTAAATAAATTTTGCACTGAAAGTGATTAAACAAGAACTTCATATCAAATTAGAAACTGACATATTTCTCTTAAGCCTTTATGTCTCCCATCTGAAACAAGTATCATTATTTGAACCCTTATGACTCCATGTGCTAGTATATAAAAAACAGACTCTTATAACTCCCAAATGCTCAACATAACAAACATTCACAAAATTTAGATCCGCTTAACTTCGAGTGCATTCAACACCAAAAAAACTTCTTCCAACATCAAAATTTTAATAAATCACATATTTCAAACAAATAAGCATGTATATAATTGCATTGCAATAAAAAAATGAAAGTAAATAAATATAAATTGTTGCATCCTGGAGTATTCACGGCGGTAGAAAAATATATAGTATAACGTCTTAGCATTGTACGAAGATCCAGCACACAATCAGATAAGTGAGAGGGTGTAGCATTCATAAGAGACACCATAGTTTTTACGTGGAAACCCCTGATCGAAAAGGGGGAAAACCCACGGGGCCTAGCCCAGTTTGAATGAATCCACTAGTATTTGCAGTTGATTACAAATGAGGCCCTTCTTAGGGAGAAGGCATTGGCTTGATATTACAAATGTATGTCATATATATAACATTACATGGTGGGAGTTACAATATAGATATGTTTATTTGATTGGAAGGGTCATTGTCGGTGATGGAGGTTGGAAGGACCATAGTCTGCAAGAGATATAGAACAAAAAGATCGTTGTCTGGCGATGTAGGTTGGAAGGACCGTAGTCGGCAGGAGATCGGGGTCAGAAAGACCGTTGTCTGGTGATGGAGTTCGGAAGAACCATTGTAGGCGCGGAGGTCGAAAGGA